CTCTTTCCCATATAATTTGCTATAACAGCACTTTATTGGTGAATAAAAACACTTGATTGATTTTTATAAAAATTAAGTTTTTTATAACAAAGATGTTCATAAATGAACAAAATTATTTTGCCACCATTATAAAGTGATTCAAGTGATTCAGAAAGTAATTCAAACTTTCTGAAAATAAAATATTTGCTGTTGAGGTTTATATATGAAAAAACTATTGCATATACACATACAACAACACAATAAATTGGTCAATGAATAAATGTATTTGTTAAATGCCTCAGTAAAGCCACATATAAAAACAAGTTCTTTTAAAGATTTACATATCTAATTTCAAGTTATGGTCACAAGATTTAGAACATACTTTTAAAGTTTTAAAAGTAACTAAAAAAACTAAGTTGAGAACATATTTTCCAAAATTTAAAAAAATTTCTTCATAACTGCTTTAATACATAGAATATAAGGACTAGTCATGGTTTAGTAGACATGTGGCTTCTAAGCAAATGGGCACAAGATGCTTTTGGTATTAAACAGTTTGGTGGGATGTTGACTGAAGTACTAGACAGTTGTCATCCTGTACAGTAAGGGGAAATCTGAGGCAATTCTATTTATTCTTTAATATAACATTCCTTAAAATTATTATGCATAAATATAGCAATATATTTATACTATAAGAATACATAGGCATATAGATACACATTTAAGCTGAATTTATTAAATAAGCTTGCAAAAAAGTACTTATTATCTACCTTGTATATTAACCATTTAACCTAATGTAGTCATAACAAAATTAAATTAAAAGTCCCTGAATAAATGAATAAGTGAATGAGTTCATGTTAGCCAAGGAATAGACTTTACTCTTAATTATAATAATTAATTTTAGTTGCTCCTTGGTTAAACAAAAGTAAGCTCAAGGATGAAATACAATTGAATTTTCTTGAATACAAACAAGTTTTATATTAAAATAAACAGAAAGAGAGCATCTTGGCATGCATTACCATGTAAAATGCATTTATTAAAAGGAATGAGATAGTAATTTTGAAATAAAAATAATTATATATGAGATTACCAATGACAGCCAACAAATGAATAAAAAAATGAATTAAAAGGCTGGGTATGGTGACTCACACCTGTAATTCCAGTACTTTGGGAGGCCAAAGCAGGAGGATTGCTTGAGCCCAGGAGTTTGAGACCAGCATGGGCAACATAGGAAGGTGCTGTAACTACAATTTTGTTTAAAAAAATGAGCCAGGCATGGTGGTGCACACCTGTGGTCCTAGCTGCTCAGGAGGCTGAGGTGGGAAGATGATTTGAGCCTGGGAAGTTTAGGTTACTATGAGCTGTGACTGTGCCACTGCACTCCAGTCTGGGTGACAGAATGAGACTCTATCTCAAAAATCAATCAATATGTGAATGGATGAATTAAAACAAAACTATGAAGAGTCTATTTGAGTAGCTCCAGACTGATAATGTGAGGAGCTCTACAGACTCTTCTTCCCAGCAAAACAATTATAACTAATAATAATTTTAAAAAAAACAGCCAGCAAATGGAGAAATATTTATTGAAGAAACTCTACTAAATTTTTATAAGAACAGCAACACACTGTTGCCCTTAAGCCACAACCAACTCCCTTTCTTCTCTGCTCCACGCCCAGCAAGGAATTTTCTCCATGGTCTTTAGCTTTTTGGAAGCTATTTCTACTACAGCCTCTCCTTATACTATAAGAGGCTAATTTTCTATATCCTTGGGCAGCTCCCATAGTTCTACTATTAATATTTATTTAATATTGATTTGAAAAATTACAATTTATTGAAACAGATTTTATAACTGTACTGAAAGATGATGGGGAAGATACAAATCAAGACTAACCAGGATTTTGATAATATGCAATAATCATTATGAAGTTTAAACAATAGTAATGCTGAATGAAAGAGGTTAAAACAGGCTAGCAAATTTCAAAAACAGACGTAATAAAAAATTCACAGCTTTCTGAATTATTTTACATAAAAGTTTCTGCAATTTGATGTTTTATTCCTTTCTGGTATAAGTTCAGCAAAACCAGATAACTTGTAAAATCTAATCAGCTAAATTGCCAAATAAAAGTTCTCCTCTTGATACATTCTAAAATTTCTTTATTGATATATTTGTCTATATTTATAAACTAGATAGACCTATGTTATTTTTCTGGGAAGAATCATAAAGATAATTTTTGTTAGAGATATCTGTCAAAACATCCAGACAAAAAAAAGAAAACATAAAAGTGGGTGCAGGCAAGCTCTTACAATCACTTTTTCAAAAGACTGAAGGTTGTAAATTAGGATCATATGCTTCATCATGCCATGAGCTAAATATGGATAACTCTGAGAAGATTTTTCATAATAAGAATAAATATTTAATGCAATCATGCAAATCATTTTAAAAAATGGTTATTATTCTTGGTTGCCTTTATCTAATGTTAGCCAGAGAAAAAACAAATCATCACTTTGGTATTTAAGAGCTGAGTCATTGAAAGTAATGTTTTTTAAGCTGTTAAGAATCAACCATCCCTATGCTGATGTCCTGGACAGTTTTGCCTACATTTTCTTCTAGTGTTTTTATGGTATTCATGACTAAAACACCAAAAGCAATGGCAACAAAAGCCAAGATAGACAAATGGGAACTAATTAAAATTCAGAGCTTCTGTACAGCAGAAGAAACAACCATTAGAGTGAGCCGGCAACCAACAGAATGGGAAAAAATTTTTGCAATCTACCCATCTGACAAAGCGCTAATATCCAGAATCTACAAAGAACTAAAACAGATATACAACAGTGAACTGGCAACCAACAGAACGGGAAAAAATTTTTGCAATCTACCCACCTGACAAAGCGCTAATATCCAGAATCTACAAAAAACTAAAACAGATATACAACAAGAAAAAACAACCCCATTCAAAAGTGGGAGAAGGATATGGACAGACACTTTTCAAAAGAAGACATATATGAGGCCAACACACATATGAAAAAATGCTTGTCATCGCTAGTCATTAGAGAAACGCAAATCAAAACCACACTGAGGTATCATCTCATCCCAGTTAGAATGGCAATCATTAAAAAACCTTGAGATAGGTGTTGGAGAGGATGTGGAGAAATAGGAACACTCTTACACAGTTGGTGGGAGTGTAAATTAGTTCAACCACTGTGGAAGACAGTGTGGCGATTTCTCAAGGATCTAGAAATAGAAATTCCATTTGACCCAACAATCCCGTTACTGGGTATATACCCAAAGAACTATGAATTGTTCTACTATAAAGACACATGCACACATATGTTCATTGCAGCCCTGTGTACAATAGCAAAGACCTGGAACCAACCCAAATGCCCATCGATGACAGACTGGACAAGGAAAATGTGGCACATATACACCATAGAATACTACACAGCCATAAAAAACGATGAGTCGGTGTCCTTTGCGGGACTTGGATGAATCTGGAAACCATCATTCTCAGCAAACTGACACAAGAACAGAAAACCAAACACCTCATGCTCTCAATCATAGGTGGGTGTTGAACAGTGAGAACATCTGGACTCAGAGAGAGGTGCATCACACACTGGGAGTAGTTGGCGGGGGCTATGGGAGGGAAAGCAGGGGGGTGGGGAAGGTGGGGAGGGATAACATGGGGACAAATGCCAGATATAGACAAAGGGAGAATAGAGGCAGCAAACCACCTGGTTGTGTATGCACCTATGCCACAACCCTGTATGATCTACACATGTCCCCCCGACCTAAAGTAAACAAAATATTAAAAAAAAAAAAAAGAATCAACCATCCTACAGACAGCACCTTACAACAGCCAGATTCAAACTCAGTTGGCACTATACCATTCAAGCCAACATACTGTCCCATCCAAGACAATTCCCACCTTTCATGTCTTTTCTATTAAAGCATATTTATTTACTAACATATATTTAGTATGATGTCTTAAACACAAATGGACAGTTATACAAAAACTAGTTTAAAAATTGTAACTTTGTCAATTTAGTGCCTTATTACCTTAACATAAAAACATTATTTTTACCTTGATACAAAAAATTAAAAAAACTACTTTTAGAGAAGTTTTATTCATTTAAGTTATAAAACCTGACACTTTGTGAAAATAAAAATGAACTAGAAATGTTGCAAGTTCATTTTAGTTGCTATATTCATCAACCAATCCTCCTTGCTAAACAAATAGTGATGAAAATTTATGGGAACTCCCAAAGGAATTAAATTTGCAGGATTCAATTCCGTTGGCTTAGCAGCAGCAAAGTGTTCAATATTATCAAGAGAGCTATCTAAATTCAATTCTCTGCCACCAAATAGCAAAACAAAGATAAAAACAATTTAAACAGGCTATGGGAAATTTTACAGAATTCCTATATATTTAGGCTTCAAGGAGGGCTTTTAATGAAGTAAAAAATACAATCATAATTTTACCAATGAGAGTATGCACTTGACAACATAATTTTCTTTTATCAACCATTACATATGCCCATTACAAAGTCATTTCTTATGACAGCCATTTTCTTTATAAGTAAATACAAAATCTAGATATGATTTAGGCTGAGGATGAAGTTTTAAAATAAAATATTGTTGGTATGGAAAATATGATAATACTTTTTGCTGAATTTCACAAAGGGAATATTTATACTTTAGCTATTCTTAGGACTTCATGTCATATACTCCAGTATTTTTTTTTTTTTTTTTTTTTT